ATGTCGTCAAGTCATCTGTGTACATCAGCTCTGAATCCTGCACTACCATAAACCGATCTCATCATCTCTGACAGACCTAATCCCATTTCTTAATATGAGACAAAATTTTGTGGGTTTTTGCCTCCAGAGAGCATTTTGGTTGCACCTTTTCTAAGACATAGCTGTTTCTTCTTTTGTCAGTCCCTAGGATTTTCTGAACTCCAACACCATTGCTCAATCTTGCCACCACCATCCCTTGCCCTATAAATGAGGAACTATTATTGAAGAAAAATATACTGCAGATACTGTTTGTTGTTGGAGGAAGCTCTGGTGGCCTACCTCCTCTGGTGGTAAGGAATTATGCTAACTCAAAGTTAGAAGGTTCAAACCCACCAGCTGCTCCACAGGAAAAAGATGTACAATTTTACAGCCCCTAAAAACCCACTGGAGGATCAGCCATGAATCAGTTCCAACTCGCCCACAATGAGAATTTGTGTTGCTAGGACATTTACAAAACCTTGTCAAATGAGTTCTATTCCTAGCCCCTTTTGCATAAGAGGAAAATGAAGTTTAGCAAAATAAAAATGTTTGACCAAGGTTGCAGCTAATTGGTAGCAGAAACGGAATTTAAATTCCAGTCCTTCTGGTTTCAAAACTTTCATCCTTTATGCTACACCAATGGTTTCCAAAGTAGATACTTGTGTGAGAAGTAACAAGCTGTGTGAGAGCTCTGATGGTTGGGTGGTAAGAAGCTGCATTGCAATCCCAGAGGCAAGGCAGTTTAAATCCACCAGCACAGTCTCCTCCTGTGTGATTTGTTGTTGTTGTTGCTGTTGTTAGATATTGTCAAGTCAAGCATGTCTCATAGGGACCATCTTAACAATAGATCTGAATCCTGTCCTATCCTGTGCCATCCTCACAATCTCTGACACACTCAAGCCCATTGTTACAGGTACAAACACTGTGTCAATACACCTGGTTGAGGGTCTTCTTCTCTTTTGCTATCCCCGCACCTTTCCAAGCATGATGTTCCTCTCCAAAGAAAAGCCTCTTTTGACAACATGCTCAAAGTATGTAGATGAAGTTGTATCATCTTTGCCTCCAAGACACACTGGCTGCACCTTCTCTAAGACATACCTGTCTGTCCCTTGGGCAGTCCATGGAATATTCAGCACTCTTTTCCAGGACCACAGTTTAAAGGCATCAATTCTTCTTTTGTCATCTTAAGTCATGTCCAGCTCTCAGATAACAAGTAACTGAAAAGACCATGGCCTAAATCAGGCACACCTTACTCCTCAAACTGATATCATTATTCCTTGATAATTTGGAGAGGTCCCTGATTGCAGACTTTTCCAGTACACTACATCTCCTGGTCTCCTGACTGCTGGGACCAAGTGTAGTGATTGTGGATCCAAGTAAGATGAAGTTGTGTGATTTTCTGCCTCTGAAAATCCACTGGAGAGTCAGCTACGGGTCAGTTCCAAATCGAGCTTAAACAACACTTAACATGAGAATGCCTATTTCCCTTCTTTTAGTTAAGTTAACCAGAGTGCTCCTTGGGGGGCAAATATTGTGAAACTTTATCTCACATACTTTAGATGAGTTTTATGGAGGGGCTAATCCTTGGAAAAACAATTGCATCTCAATTTCATGCCATCCCCTATTTTCCTTGGAAAAAAGACACCATGCTGGGGAAGGTGACAGGCCAGTGTAAGACATAAGAGAGGAAGATCCTCAGGGAGGCAGATTGACAAAGTGACTAACGACAGACTCCAGTGTATCAGAGCTAATGAGATGGCACAGGATAGGGCAAGGTTCAGATCCATTGTTTGTAGGGTAGCTGTGAGCTGTAGTCCGACCAACAGCACCTAACAATAACCTACCTTTTA